CGTACCGAGCTGACCGTATGGGTGGGTTGTATCGTTCCGTACCGAGCTGACCGTATGGGTGGGTTGTATCATTCCGTACCGAACTGACCGTATGGGTGGGTTGTATCGTTCCGTACCGAGCTGACCGTATGGGTGGGTTGTATCGTTCCGTACCGAACTGACCGTATGGGTGGGTTGTATCGTTCCGTACCGAGCTGACCGTGTGGGAAGGTAGCACCCTCGCTACCGCTAGCAACATTTCTAGCCCTGATAATAATTTAAAAACTCGTAGTAGCATATTTAAAGTATCAATAGTGGTATCAGAAGCTGTAGAGGTAATACCAATTTTAGTACTAGCAGTAATAGTAGTACTGCTATTACTAGTGGTAGTACTAATTGCTCAGTTGGAATACGTTGTAGAAAAATTACTATTAGTTGAAAAATTAAGGATGGCAATAGTAGTAAAAGTTGTCTTGGTGGCTTCTGTTGAAAGACTGGTGTGTGGCCAGACATATATCCCCAGAGAGTAACCTATTCTCCTGCTAACAGACTATGAGTATATTAAGAGCGAACTTTTGAGCGTCTAATGGCTCACAATTTTCCATTCTGCCAAACATAACCAAACCTAACCTGGTTATGTTATAACACACAGAAATCACAATAGCGTAATGCATCAAATGAACAAATCCACATGGGCCGTGATGAGGGTTCGAACCTACGGTGAGCTCGAGTGCATGGGGGAATTGTGTAAAACCCTGGTTTGTGTCTTGGAGAAGCTGCAGGATCTATGTGAGGTCAGCTGAACTCCCGGATGCAGTTTTTCTAACCATTTTCTAGCACAGTCGATTATGGCAAGTCTGCGATCTTCTCGGACGTAAGTTCGAACCTTCATGACGGTCTTCGTGGATTTGTTCATATGATGCACCACGCTATTGTGATTTAAGTGTGTAATAAAGTAAGGGCGAAGAGGTAGAACAGCTTATTAACAGATGCAGACGAGGAGTCACAATAACGTGGCTGAAATATGTTGACCACACCACACACTAGAAAGTGAAGGGACGACGACGTTTCGGTCCGTCCTGGACCATTCTCAAGTCGATTGTGATGAGGGGATGTTGACGTTGTTGTTTAAGATTAAGCTACTGGAAACACAAAGTTCCCAGTAGCACGTGCTATGGTGCTACTTGGAACTTTTTGTTTCCAGTAGCTGAATCTTAAACAACATCCCCTCATCACAATCTACTTCAGAATGGTCCAGGACGGACTGAAACGTCGTCGTCCCTTTACTTTCTAGTGTGTGGTGTGGTCAACAGCTTATTGAGAGAGCTCGGGTGCATGGGGGAATTGTGTAAAACCCTGGTTTGTCTCAGAAAGACTGCAGGATCCGTGTGAGGTCAGTTGAACTCCCAGTTGCAATTCTTTTAACCATGTCGTAGCACAGTCGACTAAGGTGCATCTGGGGATCCTGTCGGACGTGGGTTCGAACCCTCATTATGGCCCTTGTGGATTTGTTCAGTGGTTATGTTATGTTTGGTTCTGCTAAATTAGACTACTGCCTTTTTATGGTCTACTTTTTCTGCTCTTCTCATCAACATTGTAAATCCACAAATTGTGGAATGTTTGAGGTACACTTCCCAATTTCTAAAAAAAAAATTAATGTCTTAATATTTGCAATATTAACAGGATGATGAGTTTCAGGTAAGATCTCCCTTCTCTCTCTCTCTCTCTCTCTCTCTCTCTCTCTCTCTCTCTCTCTCTCTCTCTCTCTCTCTCTCTCTCTCTCTCTCTCTCTCTCTCTCTCTCTCTCTCTCTCTCTCTCTCTCTCTCTCTCTCTTTCTCTACATATTATTACTTTGCTGTAGGTCGAGTGGGTACATCCCTACCGTATAACCAACCAAAGCCATAGAACGCTTATACTTTGGACAGATCACCCTGTACGCTTCCTGTTCTTGGCGAGGGGCTCAGCGTCACATATTTAGGTGGGTGCGGCTCCAACATTGGCCTTGTTGTCATGTGCATACACCCAATTCGAGCCGCTGTGACTCCCCACTCTCTCCTTATTTGGTATGACCTCCTTAATCCCCTTTCTTTGAATTATAATTCTGTACCATCCTGTCCACAGCTGTGGTTCCTTCTCTCTTTCTCTCTTTTTTTACTTTCTGGGAAGCCTCACTAGGACAATAGCAAACACCGGCAAACTATATACATTTACTTAAACAGTGAACATGCACAACATACATACAAGATACAATAATGTGACTCCAACACACTATGCTATTATAGTCAGGTGGCATCCAATCCCATCAGGACTCTATCAGCTGCTTATATCAAGTGGTAGCCCAACTCCTGGCTCGCCACTTATACTACCAACATCACCTAGTGGGTTAAATCTTATAATACAATAGAGCACAATCAGCCATAGAATAAATATAAATAAATATACACAAGGAATCCAGCCTATAGCTGCAACAACATAAGCATCAGTATAAGTATTCCTTGATACAAACGTCCAATCACTCACCTCCCACTGCCTCATGCACGCTAATGACACTCAAACAGTATATCAACTCTCTGTAAGTAATCAGTAAGAACCTCCTCTCTGCATCCAGAGGTTCACTACCCTGAATACTTCAGGTTCTCACAGAATTCTCTACCAGGGTCTTCCACAGCTCTTCCGGCTGCTACACCATGAAGTCTTCCTAAACAGCAATGGTGCTTCACGACTGGTACCACAGAGGCACGTGAAACTCTACTCCACTGCTTTTCCTCTCACAACTTGAGATTCTACTCCTCCTATGGGGCTGCTCTTCCATAGAGCTCAGTACTTCTTCCATAGCCTTGGAGTTCCATCCACTGACTCCTTTACTGGCTCGAAGTTCTCAGCAACTCCTTCCCCAAGACAAACCTGCAACCCATTGACACGCAAATAAAAAAATATCCCTGTAAACAAATAACTAAAATAAAGTACACAGTAAATGTCTTCAACCGACATTTCTCTGCTTCCCACATGCTGTGAGGGGACTCCCCTATGCTTGGGCTGGTCCATCCTCCGTCTGGCCGGGCTCCTCGCTCTTGAGGCAGCCGGCGGCTGGCCCTGTCAGTTGCACTCAGGAGCTCGGAGAGGAAGGACGCGCCGCTCATCCCAACACCTGACTCCCTCGACTTAATTCTTTTATTTAGGCTTTTTGCCTTAATAAAATATGCCTAATATAACTATATACACTTGCTGCGGCCGCTGGGCACACGACCACTACAGGCAATCACTGTCAACTGGTTTAAAATGGCTTACCACAGAATTTGGTCCACTAGCGGCGCTCACTGACTAAGCGGTAGCCACCAGGCACTCTAAGCTGCCCACAAAACTGCTCCACACTCTTTCTGCATTTCACGACTTGAGCTGACACATCCACAGACTTATTTCTCAATTGAGACGTCTGTCCACTTCCTTCTTCTTGAAGGTATATCACGCAGGGGTTCTTCCTCACCAGGGGCTCAAACGGAGCACGACCTTCAGTCATGATTTCTTCAGCTCAAGTGAGGTCAACGTCCTCTGAAGCGAGCCTCACACCTTCAGCAAATTCTCCACATCTCATGTCAAGTCATTTACTTATATTCTTACTGTCCATACTTTTAAACTATTCGCCATATACAATCGAGTGCTTACTATATAGATTTCCAGGTTTATATCTCTTTGACCTATTAGTTAGGTCAGGTCTGACAGAATAACTTTCAGGGGGAAGACTCGTTTTTCAGCTGTAGCTTGAGATCATAACATTATATACTCTAAACAATTCTTTTCTTTACTCCCTCATTCACAAAATTTCCATGTTTGTCTCTGATTCTACCTTGCACCAATAACTTCACACGGACACTCCTCTATTCCTTCTTCTTCTCCTTCTTCTCCTCCCATTTATTCAATTATACATCGTCTTCTGTCTGTCCCGGAACGATTCCCTGCTCCTCCTGAACTCTTCCCTGCTCGTACCATCCTTGTGGTGTGTGAACGAGGTCTGCAGTCTCTTTTGGCCTTTGGTATTCAGCTTACTCAGGCATTGAATTCCTGCGTGATGGCAGAAATTCTTTTATTGGAAATTCTGTTTTATCACTAAATGTTTTGGGCAGTGATGGTTATAGTGGAGTTTCCTGTCTTTACATTTTATGTTGTGGTTTCTTTGCTCCTCGTACATTTATTAAGATTTAAACTCTCTCTCTCTCTCTCTCTCTCTCTCTCTCTCTCTCTCTCTCTCTCTCTCTCTCTCTCTCTCTCTCTCTCTCTCTCTCTCTCTCTCTCTCTCTCTCTCTCTCTCTCTCTCTCTCTCTCTCTCTCTCTCTCTCTCTCTCTCTCTCTCTCTCTCTCTCTCTCTCTCTCTCTCTCTCTCTCTCTCTCTCTCTCTCTCTCTCTCTCACTCTCTCTCTCACTCTCTCACTCTCTCTCTCTCTCTCACTCTCTCCTAGGAGAGAGCTGAAATAGTCTGAAAGTGGAGAGAGAAAGTTGCTCCAATTTTGTCACGATTGCTTACCAGAGTTTTAATAGAATTCGTGATAAGTACTTGACAATATTTTTTCCCTGAATCTAAATGTGCCAAGTTGGAGAAGAAATTGCCCGAAAGTGTTTCCTTAAACGATATCGGTATGTTAGAGATTTTACTTAAAAGGGATTGTAATAATTGAGATTTAAAGGAGTGAGATTGTCATGTACCTTGATGTTTAAGTTAAGTTTTTCATTCGCTGTACAAGAAATGCTAATATCTCTTTCATATATCATTAGAAATATGTTTGCGAAAAATTACATATGTTTTCGCTGCAAAGGAAATCACGTTTCCTTGGGTCCTTATCAATGCAAGTTCTGCCGTCTTCTTCATTCTCCACATGACAGAGAGATCCGGTCGAGTAATAAGAGATCTGAGGCTCAACATTTGTTTCTGAGGGCAACAAATGGTGAATCATATCTGATCTCCTAATATAACATCGACAGACTTCTTTCCCGATTCGTCTATTCTTTATGAAAAATTCCTGACCGGCTACCGAAGCTGTTGCATCGGAGAATAATTCTTTCTTTTGGGATTTTGTTTTTTATGAAGGATCTGCGAAGGTTATCAAAACACTAAATAATCTATATTTCACTGAGAAAAAACTGAAGCAATGAAATTGGATAGAACTTGCGTCTCTGGACTCCCCAGACACACGCACTACTCACAGTAATACGAAAAGCTTAAAAAGTATTATAACTAGACTAACTCGTGGTTAGGAAGGCACCATCGGGTACCACAGTCCCAGTCTTAAGCTCTACCCGGCCACATTCAGGTGTATTCCTTGTGGGAGGCTTTTCCCTATAATACACAGCCGGAGAGTTCCTCAGAGACATTGTTAACAGTCACCTCTCCTCCCAGATGCAACTCTTACTCTCTACCTTGTTATATTGACCTTGTTTTCTTGATCTCTTTTTCTTGACCTTGTTTTCTTGATATTGTTTTCTTGACCTTATTTTCATGAGCATGTTTTCTGGACCTTGTTTTCTTGACCTTGTTTTCTTGACCTTGTTTTCATGAGCATGTTTTGATGAGCATGTTTTCTTGACCTTGTTTTCATGAGCATGTTTTCTTGACCTTGTTTTCTTGACCTTGTTTTCATGAGCATGTTTTCTGGACCTTGTTTTCTTGACCTTGTTTTCTTGACCTTGTTTTCTTGAGCATGTTTTCTTGACCTTGTTTTCTTGACCTTGTTTTCTTGAGCATGTTTTCTTGAGCATGTTTTCTTGACCTTGTTTTCTTGACCTTGTTTTCTTGAGCATGTTTTCTTGACCTTGTTTTCTTGACCTTGTTTTCTTGAGCATGTTTTCTTGACCATGTTTTCTTGAGCTTGTTTTCTTGACCTTGTTTTCAAAGTATTTTTAAGCAGTTTTCATAATTAGTATTCTTTGCTAAACAGCTGGTTTGATTTAATACTTAATAATTATTTTCAGTCTGACGAGAGCACGAGTTAGTGCTCACTAGAAAATGAAAAAGGCCTATTGACCCATAAGAGGATTAATTATATTTATATCCACTAACAGTCACTCATATATATGTGTAGCTTCCACTTGAAAGTTCTAGTTTGTGTTAATATTTGTATAGCCTTTATATTTGTAATTCATATCCTTTAATTATGTCACCGTAACATGTTTGTCTAGAATACCAGTCTCCAAACTCTTGATAACCTTTGCCCCTTTTTCATAGAGCCTCGTTATTAATGGTCCCCTACACTCAGTAAAGGTCCCCTACACTCAGTAATGGTCCCCTACACTCAGTAATGGTCCCCTACACTCAGTAAAGGTCCGCTACACTCAGTAAAGGTCCGCTACACTCAGTAAAGGTCCCCTACACTCAGTAATGGTCCCCTACACTCAGTAAAGGTCCCCTACACTCAGTAATGGTCCCCTACACTCAGTAAAGGTCCGCTACACTCAGTAAAGGTCCGCTACACTCAGTAAAGGTCCGCTACACTCAGTAAAGGTCCCCTACATTCAGTAATGGTCCCCTACACTCAGTAAAGGTCCGCTACACTCAGTAAAGGTCCGCTACACTCAGTAAAGGTCCGCTACACTCAGTAAAGGTCCGCTACACTCAGTAAAGGTCCGCTACACTCAGTAAGGGTCCGCTACACTCAGTAAAGGTCCGCTACACTCAGTAAAGGTTTGCTACACTCAGTGAAGGTCCGCTACACTCAGTAAAGGTCCGCTACACTCAGTAAAGGTCCGCTACACTCAATAAAAGTCCCCAACACTCAGTAAAGGTCCGCTACACTCAGTAAAGGTCCGCTACACTCAGTAAAGGTCCGCTACACTCAGTAAAGGTCCGCTACACTCAATAAAGGTCCCCTACACTCAGTAAAGGTCCGCTACACTCAGTAAAGGTCCGCTACACTCAGTAAAGGTCCGCTACACTCAGTAAAGGTCCGCTACACTCAGTAAAGGTTCGTTACACTCAGTGAAGGTCCGCTACACTCAATAAAGGTCCCCTACACTCAGTAAAGGTCCGCTACACTCAGTAAAGGTCCGCTACACTCAGTAAAGGTCCCCTACACTCAGTAAAGGTCCCCTACACTCAGTAAAGGTCCCCTACACTCAGTAAAGGTCCCCTACACTCAGTAAAGGTCCGCTACACTCAGTAAAGGTCCGCTACACTCAGTAAAGGTCCGCTACACTCAGTAAAGGTCCCCTACACTCAGTAAAGGTCCCCTACACTCAGTAAAGGTCCCCTACACTCAGTAAAGGTCCCCTACACTCAGTAAAGGTCCGCTACACTCAGTAAAGGTCCGCTACAATCAGTAAAGGTCCCCTACACTCAGTAAAGGTCCCCTACACTCAGTAAAGGTCCCCTACACTCAGTAAAGGTCCCCTACACTCAGTAAAGGTCCCCTACACTCAGTAAAGGTCCGCTACACTCAGTAAAGGTCCGCTACAATCAGTAAAGGTCCCCTACACTCAGTAAAGGTCCCCTACACTCAGTAATGGTCCCCTACACTCAGTAAAGGTCCGCTACACTCAGTAAAGGTCCGCTACACTCAGTAAAGGTCCGCTACACTCAGTAAAGGTCCCCTACACTCAGTAATGGTCCCCTACACTCAGTAAAGGTCCGCTACACTCAGTAAAGGTCCGCTACACTCAGTAAAGGTCCGCTACGCTCAGTAAAGGTCCGCTACACTCAGTAAAGGTCCGCTACACTCAGTAAGGGTCCGCTAAACTCAGTAAGGGTCCGCTACACTCAGTAAAGGTCCGCTACACTCAGTAAAGGTTTGCTACACTCAGTGAAGGTCCGCTACACTCAGTAAAGGTCCGCTACACTCAATAAAAGTCCCCAACACTCAGTAAAGGTCCGCTACACTCAGTAAAGGTCCGCTACACTCAGTAAAGGTCCGCTACACTCAGTAAAGGTCCGCTACACTCAATAAAGGTCCCCTACACTCAGTAAAGGTCCGCTACACTCAGTAAAGGTCCGCTACACTCAGTAAAGGTCCGCTACACTCAGTAAAGGTCCGCTACACTCAGTTAAGGTCCGCTACACTCAGTAAAGGTCCGCTACACTCAGTAAAGGTTCGTTACACTCAGTGAAGGTCCGCTACACTCAGTAAAGGTCCGCTACACTGAGTAAAGGTCCCCTACACTCAGTAAAGGTCCCCTACACTCAGTAAAGGTCCCCTACACTCAGTAAAGGTCCCCTACACTCAGTAAAGGTCCCCTACACTCAGTAAAGGTCCGCTACACTCAGTAAAGGTCCGCTACACTCAGTAAAGGTCCGCTACACTCAGTAAAGGTCCCCTACACTCAGTAAAGGTCCCCTACACTCAGTAAAGGTCCCTACACTCAGTAAAGGTCCCCTACACTCAGTAAAGGTCCGCTACACTCAGTAAAGGTCCGCTACAATCAGTAAAGGTCCCCTACACTCAGTAAAGGTCCCCTACACTCAGTAAAGGTCCCCTACACTCAGTAAAGGTCCCCTACACTCAGTAAAGGTCCCCTACACTCAGTAAAGGTCCGCTACACTCAGTAAAGGTCCGCTACAATCAGTAAAGGTCCCCTACACTCAGTAAAGGTCCCCTACACTCAGTAAAGGTCCGCTACACTCAGTAAAGGTCCGCTACACTCAATAAAGGTCCGCTACACTCAGTAAAGGTCCGCTACACTCAGTAAAGGTCCGCTACACTCAGTAAAGGTCCGCTACACTCAATAAAGGTCCGCTACACTCAGTAAAGGTCCGCTACACTCAGTAAAGGTCCGCTACACTCAGTAAAGGTCCCCTACACTCAGTGAAGGTCCCCTCTGGTATCATAACCGGTACTCTGCCTCATCTCATTGCCTCTACATATTGCCAAAGGACGTCTCATGGGGGTCATGGCCCCCAGTTTGGGAACCAGTGGTCTAGAAAATATAAATAATGTTTTTATAATCCCTCTTCAGAAGGAAGTTTTCTAATTGATAGGATTACCTATGTCATCCATGTCTCAATACTGTCTGGTTTATATTAGTCCTATTGTACGGAGACCAAACTGAGCCGTGTAATCTCAGTTGGCCCATAACAGGTAAGATATTGCTGAGGAATAATGTTACATGTGTCATCGTTTCGGGCTTAAGGCAAATCCTTAACGGTCCGCCTCCGTTCACCCATTAGTGCTTGGGTACTTGGCTGTTAAAACGATTAGCGGGTCGTATTCAAGGGAAACCTGTAGGTAAGGCTAACCTTGAGCTATGGGATGGGAAGCTATCAGCCTGCTAGCAGGAGTCAGCAATCTTTTGTTCCTGTACTGACCTATGTAATACAAAACAAAGTTTATCAAGCGCAAGATACATTATAAACCCACAATATCTGACTGACCATCCAGCAAATATACTCTAATATACTCCTGAACATAACCATGGACTGAAGGAAACTCTCAGTATATGTCAACGATAATTTTTTTTTATTTTTTTTTTATTTTTACATGCAAGCATGTAATTATAGACAATAAATACAATAAAACAATACAGGAAACAGAACAACAAAGCAAAACAGAAAACCATCGGCCAGAAGGACCGACAGCACAGTACAATAATAAACATAACTGGTAAAAAGGCAAGAGAAACACAGAATACATCAAATCAAAAACATCACACAAAATATAAGACAACGTAAACAAGCAATCATGCAAGCAAAAAATGACAAGAAAACATAACATAGTATCAATGAAACAAAGCAAACATTAGCACCGGCTTGAAGGACCAACAACAAAGCACATCAAGAAGTACAACATGAAAGATGACAAAAAAACATAAAACACAACAAGTCATAAAATAACAAAAAAAACAAGATAACACATAAGGCAGAAATATAACACACAGGGCATAGTAACAACACAAAACAAACACATGAACAAGAAACACGGCCTCGCAATAAACAAAGGGAGAGGCGCGAGCACAACGCAACAGGGCAAGCAAACAGCCAGAGGGGCATACTTCACTACATAAAGCACATAAAGAGAAAATCAGTGGACATACTTTTCCGGAAACCAGGCCTGCGGGAACCGCACATTAAACGCTTCCAAGAGCATCCACCGCCAAGGGTCTCGGCTATCCACTGGGGAAGCCATAACATCCGGAACCTTGGCAACAAACACCCGCAAACAGGGGACCCAGATGGTATTACTGACGAGGCGAGTAGCAGCCACTCGTTCCCACATGCATGGAACCTCCCCACCATGAAAGTTCTCTGGTTCATCAGACAGCATCAACTCGGCAATCGCTGTCCAGTGACCCGACTACATCACAGACGCTGGCAACATGTCTTCCAGTTCCCAACACTCACCCTCACAGGAGCGAACTGGACAGAGGGCACCACTACAGGGGCACTCACAGCCACAGGCACACCTCCAGACGACTGCAGGGAACCTGGACGGCGCGCATCCTCCTGTAATGTCACTACCAGGCCATGCCCAGCACCAGTATCCACACCATCCCGGGCAGCGGAAGCCACCACCCCCTACTGCGGAGAGTCCCCTGGCGGAGAAAGAATCGAAGGCACGTCCAAGACACGGGCACAAGCACCAGCAGGCACATGGACCTCCGCCACCACTAACTGCGGAGGCATCGACGTATCCGGATCCACACCGTCAACACCCGAAGACCCACAGTCACTGAAGTCACCAACATCGGCCCAGGCAGAAGACGAACGCTGGGAACGTTTGGGCTCCAGCCGGATATCGTCAAAGCCTGAAGCAGACCCAGAAACACGGGTACCACTAGCCGGACGAACCGACGCCTGACACAGAACGGCAGCAGCCTCTACCACAGGGGAAACCGGGCCACACACAGCAGGAGGCTCCGCAGCCACCCAGCACCCAGCACAGCCGGGACCCGAGGCGCGGACATAGGGCCAGGCGCAGCATCCGAAGACGAGGGAGAATACAGCGACGCCTCACAGTGAGCACCAGGAAGGCCCACGGGAGCAGCGGGGACAGTGATAGGAGCAGGTAGACCATCCGACGGCACTGCAATACCCGGAGGAGGGACAACAACAACCGGAGGCATGTCGGGCGACGCAGGGGGAGCCGCAGCAGCAAACGGGATGCTTACCTCCTCATCCCCGGAGTCCTCCTCCAGAGGGAGCGGCGGGAAATCCTCTTTCTGAAACAAGTTGACAGAAGCAACCGGGGCCACAGAGCACCCGGCAGCCTGAAGGCCCAACAGGCCACACCGGAAACAGGTACAGGGTTGCCGGGCATAATACACCCGGAAGTAGTATCCCATAAGCCAGACAGAAGATGGTACATCCGACAGCACGCGCATTCCCAAGGTACGAATGTTCGTCTGCCTTCCAGCATACCTCCCCAAGGAGTGTGTTCACCCGCACGCTTACAACAGCACCAAACCTCCCGAAGTAACGCCGGAGGAGGTCATCAGAAAACTTCAGGGGCGCCCCATAGACACTGACATATGTCAGGGCACCACTACGGTCCGAAATTGCCACAGAGCCGGCACCACCCGGCAACGTACGCCCCTCGTAAAGATGGAAGAAGTCCTTGTACTCCTCCTCCCTCACGAACTTGAGAACAACCTGGTGGACTGTTATAAGCTCCACACCGTAGATATATTCCACCGGGATACGAAGCATGTCACACATAACCACCTCAATGTCTGGATATCCAGCCCGATTAGTGATCTCCAGGCCCACGGAGTTCACACGCACAACAGGGGGAAGATGGTCACCCATGTCAAACTCGCCACGTCAACTCTCAGCCAGGCAGCAACAGCTGGGAGGGCAGAGATGCCCACACCACCTGGCGACTAAAACGGCAAACAACCCCAACAACCAGGGAGGATCGGCAAGACGTCCTCACTCCATGGCTGCCAGGGCACAACTCCTTCAACGATAAGTTGGGTACACCTTGTGGTGTACTTATCCATGGCGATAACATTTCTTACAGCTTACTAAAGCTCAATACCAGATTTGCTTCATTCCGAACATATTTGCATTGAGTTTGTAGCTAAATATTCCTACTAATGACGATTCCCAGATTTCGAAATATCGTTGTCCAATTGCTCACTGTAACTCTATCATCATTCCCTATGTTCAAGACTCTCCATTTTTCAGTACTAGACTTTATCCAACCTTACATTCAACATACCTAGATAGTCTTGCAGCGATTTTATGCAGCGAGTTCTAATTGTGTTGCTCCTTATATGTTTGTGTCCATAATAATTGCAAGTAAATACTTATGTCATGGAGTACTACAATATTTTAATGATTAATGGCGTCTTTTCGTACCAAAAAATACTGATGTTAAGAAGTGTAACATCGAGATTCCTTTGATACATTTTCTTTATCAACATCGAGAAACTTAGGACTGTAAGAAGAGTTATGGCTCCAAGAAACAAGGCCAAATACTAATTTCTTACTCTGGTCGTGGTTAGAATATTAGTGTAGATAAGAGGAGACAGTGGCGTCTTGACATGCAGATGGTTGGTAATAATTGTGCTGATTCGGACAGACAGTGGTTTCTTGCCTTATAGGTGATAGGAATAAGATGTGAACATTCTTGAGGTCTAATAGCTGGAATTAATTAAGTTTCGGAGACCGTTGACTCACAACACCTAGAGGTGAATTATATGCAAAAACTCACTCCATTTCTTACTTTGTGTTAATGAACGAAGTGGTTATCGCCTCGTGAAAAACTGATGCTCTGAAACCATTAAAAATTTACACATAATATGTAATAGTAAAGCTCTAGTGTGCTCAAGTGAATGAAAGAACGATGGCCATCCTCCACGCATGTTTTGAGGATATTGTGGGGGTGTTCGCTGCATCTCAGTCTCACCACCTTCCAGCACGTCTTTCAGTGGTTGGTTGAGTGGCTGTGGTACTGAGCTGCAAGCCTAGCACCCTTTGAGAGATCAACTGGAGTTCTGTGTTGAATTAACAAATTAAATTAACAAATATCTACACAGTTGGGTACAAGAACCAGCCCATCCTCCAAACAAGGACCCAAAAGTGATTCCATCCACCCGCCAAACCCCTTGTTTATGAATGAAAAACGGTTTACACACGAGTCACAACTGATGACGTTCGAACACTTCCGGAACAAGTGCTTCACTAACGACTTTTGTTTGAACCGCAACGCTATAAATGCTTCACCCACGTACTACAAATATAAATAATCATTAATAGAACCTAAACACCTAGCCTAACCCAACCTATGCCTATATATGCACAATATGCTAATATATTATAATATTTATTTATATTTGAGAAAATTACTGTTTTGAATACACAACATGTAAAAATTTATGAATGCGTCTGTGGGGTTGACCGTTGGATGTAATAGACTTGAGTCAAGGACGGGTTGACAGGAACAGATTACTGTTGACTCCTGTTCGCAGGATGCAATCTTTTCCTTCCCAGAGGTCATGGTTAGCAATCCGTCCACACAATAGGTTGTTTAAAACGTCGGCCATCCTCCCCAACGCATTTATTGTAGTTAGGCGTAGGTTAGGTTAGGTGTTTAGGCTCTGTTGGCGATTATTTCTATTTGTACTACCTGGATAAAGCATTTACAGCGTTGTGGTTCAAACAAAATTCGTCAGTGAAGCACTTGTTCCGGAAGTGTTCAAATGTCATCTGTTGTGAGTCATGTGTAAACCACTTTCAGCCCGTCCTCCAAACAAAGATCAAAAAGTGATTCCATGCACCCGCCAAACCCCCTGTTTATGAATGAAAAACGGTTTACACACGACTCACAACTGATTTCGTTCGAACACTTCCGGAACAAGTGCTTCACTGACGACTTTTGTTCGAAATACAACGCTATAAATGCTTCACCCACATATTACAAATACAAATAATCGGCAACAGAACCTAAACATCTAACCTAACCTGTGCCTATATATGCACAATATGCTAATATATTATAATAATAATTTATATTGGAGAAAATTCCTGTTTTGAATGAACAGCATGTTTTTTTTTTTGAACAGCTTTTTTTTAAATTTCATGAATGCGTCTTTGGGGCTCAACTGCTGGATGGAAAGGACTTGGTCCGAGGATCGGTTGTACCGTGGATTATATAAGTGCAAATTTTACATATGCTTTCATCTTGTCAAAAAACACAAACCATCGGTCAGTGAAATGATTTCCTGTGGCGACGCGCTTAATGCTTTTAAATTGACCTCGATGTGTTTGCTTCTAACGTAATAACAGCCTTTATTTATCCCTGTACATAATGTTTACATGCTATGGTATTGATCTAAACAACAGATGGATCTATACTATAGATCTATACTGTGGTATAGATCTAAACTTGGCGCTCTAAACAACAGCTCTTTTAATACGCAGCTAATGATACAATTCAATGCATTCTGATACAAAACTATACTGAGCATTTACGTTGGTGTAATTACAGAGGATTATTTTTGGAAAGAAATTATTTTATCAAACACTAATGAAGAACTAATGAGTTGGGAGCCAGTATTGCCGCTGATCCTCATTGCTTCAGAACGGATTACATCTGCTTGTCTGCTCTTACTCGTTGGGCTGATACTTTATGGAAAGCAGAGTTTCTGTTGTCATTTGATAATATTAAACAATGCAATTATCAGATTTTATCTGGTTGTCTCTGTCTCTCTCCCTCTTACCCTCTTCCACTCTCTGTCTCTCTTTCACACACACACGCATGATGACACACTCACACACATGATGTTGACGAGAAGAGTTGTGACATATGAGGATTGTAGGATCCTCCAAGAGGACTTGAACAGGCTGCAGAAATGGTCAGAGAAATAGCTACTTGAGTTCAACACGAGCAAATGTAAAGTTATGGAAATGGGATTAAATGAAAGGAGACCAAAGAGACTTGTAAGTACACAATGAAGGGGAACTGTCTACCTGTGACGACTCGAGAATGAGACCTGGGCGTGGACATAACACTTAATCTAACTCATGAGGCCAACCCACCCTCCGAATTGACAGTACGATTTAATACTAAGTGCAATAAGTACATTTCCTTACTGTCAAACAATACATAATTGCACTTATGGGGCTGTTACATTTACCTCCCCATTTATTCTCCTCGTTTTCTGTTAAGACACTCAGAATTTTAGGATGAAGTTTTCAGGTTCAATGTGCTATACAAAAGTTTTAAATATCAGGAATTTATTTTTCAGTTTTATTAAACTATAGGAATTTTATACAAAAAAAATTAAAATATTCTGAGTTACTTAACAATTTATTAAAATATTTTAGTTTTGTTTTATTAGTTTTACAGAACTGTAATATCAATATAGCTATAGGTTAAGGAGTAATTGTAATTAAGAAGCAATAAAATGCTTATCTTCAAACACTAAGAAGGTTAGGTCGTAGTTTTCTATTCAGCTTTTCAGGTAAACTCAAATATTCCCAATATATTTGTATGGCTTAATACTAAGTGAAAATAAGTACAATTCCTGACTGCTATGAATAGTACATAATTGCACTTACTTGTGCTGTTACATTTACCTTCCCATTTTTGGAGGAAAGGCTGCTGAGGTACATGTAAATAGGATATCGACAGCAGCGTACTCTACACAGGCAAAAGTTAAAACATAATTCAGAAACCGAAGTAAGGTGGCATTTAGGACACTTTACGTTGTCCATGTGAGGCCAGTCTTGGAGTATACCGCCCCATCATGGAGTCCCCACCTGAAGAAACACTTAAGTATACTGGAAAATGTTCAGAAATTTGCAACAAGACTCGTCCCAGCGTTACAAGGGATGGGGTATGAACAGCGCCTAAAGGAACTGAGCCTTACGACACTAGAAATAAGAAGGGAGAGAAGGATATGATAGGAATGTATAAAATACTCAGGGCGATTGACAGAGTGAAAATTGACGTAATGTTTACGCGGAATAGTAACAGAACGAGGGGACATGGGTGGAAACCGGAAACTTAGATGAGTCACAAAGATGTTAGGAAGTTTTATTTTAGTGTGAGAGTAGTGGAAAAATGGAATGCACTTAAGGAGCAGGTTGTGGAAGCAAATTCTATTCATAATTTTAAAACTAGGTATGATAGGGAAATAGGACAGGAGTCATTGCTGCAAACAACCGATGGCTCGAAAGGCGAGATCCAAGAGTCAATGTTCGATCCTGCAGGCACAATTAGGTGAGTACACACACACACACACACACACACACACACACACACACACACACACACACAAACACACACACACACACACAGAGGAAGACAGGAAGCAGGAAGCTTCCTCTCAGGAAGCAGCTAGATGTACTAACCGGATGATAGAGAGAAAAAGAGGAGTAGTAGTAACAGGCATTAAAGAGCAAACAGACCAGCCCAAAGGAGTGGAGAGACAAGGACAAAAACGCAGTTACCGAGATCTTTAAAGAGGAAAGGATGGAGGGAACTGACCAAAATGTTGAAAAGGTTTTCAGGCTTGGAAAGTACAACAAGGACAGAGACCGAATGATAAAGGTGGTATTCATGAGCGAAATCACGACAGAGGAACTGTTAGCAAGGATGCGCAGTCTAGCAAATGTTCCGAAGTTCAAAAAAGTATTCCTGCAGAGGGATATGACAAGGGAAGAGAGAATACAGGCAGCAGACGGGAGGAAGGAGCGCAGGGAGAGAGAAAGGAATCAGAGTACCACAACCCGGAACCCTACAATCCCAGAGGGAAGTGGAGAACCCTCCTCAAACAGTGCAACAGCCACAGGGATTG